TGTCAGTCACTTCCTGTTTACTTTGTGAATGCAGGGCTCCCATTTGGTAAAATGTGGGGCAGAATGTGCCCCCCCCCCCTTGTTAAAATATAAAATAATGTGTTTTTTTCCACTTAAACTGAAAAAATTCCCCCTCAAACATAATATTTAACAGCCATAGAAGAAGGATCACATTTTTAAACTGAATTTTTATACAAAATATCAAAGATGTATTCAATTTCATTGGAAATAACGAAAATATTTCATGAAAGCAGCTTATTGTTGGTAAATTTGTTAACTGAATCTTGATTTTGCTTGTTTTAAATAAATTAATTTTCTTCTGTCGAAATTCCCCCTTGAATGAAAAATATTTGAAAATCATGCGAAATACACCACCCCCCCCCCACCCAGCTTGGACCCTGGCCCCAGTCTCAAAATGCTAACGAGAGTCCTGGTATGGTGTAAAACTTGATCAAGATACTATAACAGACCTGTTCTCCTATATGCCTGTCCTGTTTCTGTGACATGATGTCTCTATATATCTGAGACGGTTTTCCTTCTACATGACTTGATATCTTTCTACCCTCATTATCAGGCAACTGAAACATTCAAAGACGAGGGGTGAAAACAAGTATGAGCATCTCTCTAAAACGAGAGACGGTTCTGTTCTGGAATGTATTATCAAACTTATGATAACAAACAAGATAATAAAGTTGGAAGTGACTACCTTTATAGTTACTAAGACAAGAGCTGTCCCTGTGCTCGACTATATAGAAAATTGGCCTAAACAAAAAGTTTTATCAAAATGCTGACACCAAGGGGAAAATAATGACAATATTTCACCAGTTGTTTTCTCTCAAAAAGTGAAGCTAATTGTTGCCAAATTATCATGTTTGTATATAATTTGTAAGGATGAATTTGGTCAGTCAATTCAATATTAATTTTCCATCTAGGCCATAAGAGTTACTATCAATTCAAGAGTACCATGTGACTAAACATCTTAATAACAAATAGGTTTGTGAGTAACAGTAAAACCTGTGTGTTATTGATATTGAAAAGTGGATATTGAATGAGTGTAAGTACTGAATTTATTGCATTATATTATGTGAGCCTCTGGCAAGCATAATATTTTATTCAACAAATTCAATAAATTCAGTAAAGACTTTACATGAATTCAATATGCTCTTTATCACATACCCAAAATAAAGACTGTTTAACGTGAATAAAGAGTCACTTTCATTGACTCGTCTATAGTATAAAGCTAACATTTAGCGCATCTTTACACTATGTTTGTATAACGCTAATGACGTCACGTCAAAATATATGCACGGCTGTGCAATACCATTTTTACGGAGTTGCAAAATCGGCACAGGTGTGTGATAAATATTTTTACTGTTACTCACAAACCTATGTGTAATTTAAATACTAAAAGATTGTCTTGCAACAGTAAATAAATTCTACTAACAGATTGTCTTGTAACAGTAAATAAATTCTACTAACAGATTGTCTTGTAACAGTAAATAAATTCTACTAACAGATTGTCTTGTAACAGTAAATAAATTCTACTAACAGATTGTCTTGTAACAGTAAATAAATTCTACTAACAGATTGTCTTGTAAGCCTCGGTGAGGTAACAGGTGAGGCAGTCTGGGATATGTGACTCTCAAGTGCTTCCTGACATCTCTTCAGTGGTAACACCGTGGATACTTGAGGACTGCAAATCTCAACAGTTGACTTTACCCCTGATGTAAATAAATCATTATATAAATATTAAAGTATAAACATTTACGTTTTAGACTTTATTATTTCAGAAGCTACAACCAACAAAATGCAAGCAGAGCTCCAGATTGTTTTTTCGTGCAATAAGTTTTCAATTTCTTGATTTTTTTTAGCAATTAGTTTTTTCACTACCAGATTTCAAATTCAGTGTAGATATTATTTTTTTCTTAATTTTCAAATTTGTTTTTTTAGTTTTTTATCTGAGGGTCATATTTATCAGTTTTACATAAGTTTATGGGATACTAAATATATTTTATAAAGCATCAGATGAGAAACTACAACATTGGCAATGAGACTCAGAGAGGCATAGTTCTCTATGACTTCCACAATGTTTTGTATGATCATCAGGGCAAAGGTGATGTCACAATCATATAGAGGAAATTTGTTTGTTTTGCATGTAAGATTGAAATATATTTCACTGAGTGAACAACAGATGCAATATTTTCATGAGTGGCTTAGCCAAGAGTCAAAATTGAATAGCATGTGTGTAAAATATATTTCAATCTTATATGTAAAACAAATAAATTTTCTTTTTATTTTATGCTTTTTAAGTTGTTTAAAGTATTTTCTACTGATTTTGCTGCGTAACATCATGCATTCTCCTTTATCATCACATCATGACGTCACATATGATCATTAATTTTGAAATATAGTTCTGTTAATTTTGAAATATAGTTCTGTTAATTTTGAAATATAGTTCTGTTAATTTTGAAATATAGTTCTGTTAATTTTGAAATATAGTTCTGTTAATTTTTCTTTAATTTTGTTACATTCTAAACATGATGTATGATGATATCCATTTTCTTTTCCTAAAGAAGCAAAATTCCTATATGACAGAATTTATTTCTACCTGTAATTCCATTTAGTTATAATTTTTTTTTCATCCGCATTCAGAAATAGTCCGGCTACAGTGAAAATTATATTTATAAATTTCACTAGTGGTTTATAAGAAGATAATCATCTGATATATTACAATAAAACACTGGAAAGCATGAAATAAAAATATTTAACATAATATATATGAGCCGTGTCATGACAAAACCAACAAAATGGGTTTGCAATCAGCATGGATCCAGACCAGCCAGCGCCACAGACAGGGTTGATAGTATCCATGCTGTTCCGCTATCAGTTTCTCTACTTGTTTAATAGGGTTTTGTAAGCAAACAGCCATGGAATCCTGATCAGATTGCGCCGATGCGCAGGCTGGTCTGGATCCATGCTGGTTGTAAACGCACTATGTTGGTTTTGTCGTGACGCGGCTCATGTATATGTGTGTGTGTGATGAAAGACATACCTTGATGTGCAATGACTTGTGGACTATGTTTCCCACGATACAACTTTATCTTTTTTGATCTACCACTTTCCTGACTTGATGATACTGTTAAATAATATAAACATACAAAATCAACTGTTACCCCATGTAAACAAACAAAATCAACTGTTACACAATATTAACAAACAAAAGCTTATTGCCAGATCATCAAAATATGATTTCATTCAACTCGTTCAATAAATTTAGTTTTAAACCTACACTCCTTCAATATCCACTATTTACACACCAAAAGTGTAAGAGTAGTCAAGACAAAATTTACACAAAATAAAAATTATGGGGCCATCAACTCTGACAAAAATCAATGAACTTGGAAATGCTGACTATATGCACAAGAAGCCTTGGTACTGATCCCTAATAAGTTCTTGAGTAGTCCGAGCAAGATTTGCAATGGACAGCACTAAGCAGGCCTTAATGATTCTTTTAGGGCCACTCACCCAGTGTTGCATCTAGAATTTCAAAAATATGGGGAATTGTCCCCCACTCAACTGAAAAATGTGGGGGATTTGAAAAAAATGTCGGAGACATGCATTTACCTAACAATATGACATAAAAGAAAAGAATTCATTTATCTTACATTTAGGCATTTTTAACAGCTATTGTACGCTCAACATTGGAAATAAAATAATAAAATATTGAGGAATACTACAATACACACGCAAGATGACCAAGTCTGCTGCTGCTTGCGATTTATATGTAATATGTATTTTAGTCATAACCGCGAGTGAAAACAAATATGGCTGAAGTGTTCAACCAGCTAGATCAAGATATCATGAAGATAAGAAAGATCGTCAGATAGGCGACTTGGCGCGCATTGACTTCATTAAAATGTGCTATCTGCAAATAATATGCGCAAATTGCGCAATCACATGGCCTAGATGCAACACTGTTCACCCTGCACAAAGTTCAAATTTACTAATTACTGGTCTATATTGGTATAATTGGCTTTATTCATTTACATATTACTCAATAATGTTTAAATACTTTCATTCTTTTATTATATAATCTTCAACATAGCCTAAATACTTATTTCATCCAAATTTTAACACACTAAGGCTAAAATATCCACCCTCATGACTCAGTATAAAGCATCACCGAATGAATATGTTTGTTTGTTTGTTTTGGGTTTTACGTCACATCGACACAGTATAGGTCATATCACGACATTCCAGCTTTACTGGTGGAGGAAGACCTCAGGTGCCCTTTTGTGCATTAGTTCAGGCACAAACAGGCACCTGTGTAGAACCACAGACATTCCGTAAGATAGCTGGATAGCTTCGGCCTTCCTCACATGAAAGATCCAAAGTCCCTGTCAGAATTCGAACCCACAGCAGTGAGGGGAAAGTGGTTTGAAGTCAATGACATTAACCACTCGGCCATGGACGCCCCAAATGAATTTGTATAACAATGTCGAATGCTGCTGTTGTTATGGAATCTATTCATCATACACATTCAGTAAAGTTTTATACTAAGTCATAAGGTCAGTTTCCAATTTTCCATTGAAATGGTATCTGCTGTTTTATGTTTTTTACCAAATAATTTACATTATTTAGAGAAACAACAATTTGATCTGGAAAATTTGACATGCCCTGTGGGGCGCGTTTGATCAATTTTTTACTCTCCCTAAGCAAAAATTACTCACAAATAAGATAGGCGAGTGGATTTTTCGAGGCCTGGACATACAGAATGATGTTCTAATGAGAGAGTACAATATGTGGCTACCATGTTGTTCTCTCTATTACTCTTTTAAATTAGCCACATAAAAGCCTTACAGAAGGAATGACATCAAAAAGAAAGTACATTTACCTATTGTTACATAAGTTATATAATTATATAGTGTAAAATAATACAAACCTGAGTTTGTTTCTTCATCACTTCTCCTATTATTGATATCTACTCTCCTCTTATTTGATGCACCTGATTTTCTTGGACTTGGTTGATTTTCACCTTCACAACTGGTCAATGGAGAGCTTGACTTTCTTGGACTAGACCTGTTTTTACTTCCACTTTTTGTTGCTATGAAGCTTGATGTATACAGTTTACCTGATCTACGTAATACTCTTCCAACATCATTAACACCAACATCAAGATCAGATTCAGAATCTGTATGTTCCAATTTTCTCTTTTTGTTCAACATCACCCCTTTTCTCGAATTCAATGCATTATGCTTTCTTTTGCCTTTACTAAATTTCAATGTTTTTCTTCTCCCATGTCTAGTTCTAACTCCAGTCCTATAAGTAGTTTCACCATTGTCTCTATCTCTGGCTTCTGCCTCAGCCTGACTAGACTCTGACCCACTTACATTATCTATGACCTTCCTCTTATCTGTACCCTCTCTAACATTACAAGATAAAACTCTCTCACCAGATCCCTTCCTGCTTCTAAGTCTACACTCTTGAACGTTTTCAAAATCTAACGCCTTCAGCTCGCTCTCTCTCAAACTATATTTATCTCTAGATGACTTTGACTTGACAACATCAATATTTTCCCTTTTGTCTTTCCCTCTAGATTTTCTGTCAGCATAATCAGTACACCTGTTTTGTATATCACCACTAATTTTATCTCCATTTAACAATTCTAGTTTATTTTTCTCAATTTCTTTTACAGCATCATCATTTCTCAACTTGGTGCCTTTAACTTTTGATTTATTTTCTAACTTCTTTGAATTATCTATTCTTTTATTAGCACTTCTAATTACTGCCTTATTATTCATCTCAGCTTTCACTTTTTGATCATTGTTAGTAACTGTCTGATTCATTTGTGCACTGCCAGTGCAAACTCTGTACAGTTGGCCGTCTTTTGTTCGTCCAAATCTTACAGGGCCAGCTGAATTTATATCAGATATCATAACTACAGCTGATCTAGATGCCACATTTCCTGACTGACCTTGACCAACACCATCCTGTGACCTTTTATCTACAGTTGTTATTACCTCTTCACATGATCTTTCTTTAGAATCATCCTCTATATTACTTACATGAAACTCAAACATGTGGTCAAATACTTTCAAAGACTTTCCATTTTGTTGAAATATACAATCATCACATTTCCGCGGGAAAGACCACGGGATTTTGTATGGTCTGATAAGAAAGTTTGGTGTTGCTATGGTTTTAAGCGTCTTATTTCGTTCACTTATATACAACACTGCACGGAACACTTGTTCTATTTGGTTATGGGCATCAACCTGACTGACATCTAAACCTTGGGATGGGAATGTCTCTAATTTAAACTTAACCTTTACTTTATACAAAGTGTCTTTGAACCTGAAAATAAAGCAAATGTGATTTCTTATTAAAGCTACATGCCTCCAGATGAGTCTTGAATATTTTAAAAATATCAAACTTGAGAAAAATGTACTAAGATGCAAGGATAAAATTAAGTAAAAAGTTTCAAGAATCAAAAAATATTTTACATATTATGAGCGATTAATGACCGATTTTTTTTAGGATTTACAACTATATTTCTACTGCATTACTAACGCAGTAATGACTACTTTTGTATATTTTGACAATGTTTTGGTAATTTACGTGGTTTGTAAGTGCCATTGATAATGTGTAAATTGCTTCCTTTTGGTTACTTCACAATATTACACATTAAAATACATTTACAAAATTTTCATGAAAATAAGCATGAATCTGAAGGCGTGCTGCTTTAAATTATAAATATCTACTGGTTTCCTAGCAGTTTCCAGCAACAAATCGCACTTTTTAACAAATAAAATAACAAGAAACATGGCAATGCCATGAAACCAGGTTTTCAATTATCACCATTGTAGATAAATATGTTGTTATTTGAGATACAAATACAAAGCAACAAACAATTGTAAACTATGTGGCAATGTAAAACATGGAATAAATGTAGGAGA